TCCCAAAAGACCCATAAATTGTCTACAAAGGTCACAGCGTTGAAATATCGTGTCGATACAGAGAGCGAATCTTTGAGGTTCTGGGGAGCAGGCTGCAGTTGTAGTCTTCTACCCATAAATGTTAGAAATAAGACTTATATGCTCACTCCAGGACCAGTTTGTCATCCTCTGGGCATACAACACGGTGCTCTTCTTCTATCCAACAAACAATATCAACAAAACCAAAAATTGTGTAAGGGTTACAGTTGTAAGCGAGGAGACTTGCATTGACAGCACATACTTTGCACAACCACCATGATATCATATGATTCTGCTGGTTGTGCGGTAGGGGGCAGTTCATTCAGTTATATGGATTGCGCAGTAGGCGGAGATTCAATGTGGTCTTGATTGTTTCTATCAGGTTCCTCCATTTGTGGAAACTGCATTGGCTAGTACACGCTCCACAGAGAGGTAATCTCCAGTTAGGGGGTCCATAAAATTATCAGAAGGCAGGTCATTGACCACTGGGGCTGGGGTCATGCGGGGTCAGGCGGGCGAGAAATGAGTGGGGAGATATGGGTGGGTGATATATGGGTGGGTCAGATGCAGGTAATGGAGGCCGATCAGTCGCGCTTGTATTTAAAGTGGCTGTCAGTCATGCAAAAGCTGCACAGGCGGCCGCACCCCATGTCCAATGCACACACAGGCCCGTCATGTCGAAGAAATCGTCGCCACACTGTTGGCATCGAACTCAACATGCACTATTCTGAGCTAGTGCGTATTGAGCGCGATGTCCCCGTTCTGTACGGTCGCGGTCATGGCGTTGGAGCAGATCGCGACCCCCTGTTGGGGGCGCAGTGTTGATACTATCCATGGACAAACAAGGTCGTTGTCTTGGAGATGGTGGTGGAGACGGGGAGTGCCTCCGCCGACAAGGTGTCTGCAACGACCGTTTTAACAATAGACGCCTTGGACGAAAAGGTCGCCGGGACGGCTGATCTGATCAAGGATGTCTTGATAAGGAAGATGATGAATCAGGCAAGGTAGAGAAGGGAGGAGATGGCGAAAAGGGTAGAGAAGAAAGAGAAGGAAAATAAGAAAGAGAAGAAAAATCATATGAAGGGGACGAACAAACAGCCGTAGAGGATGGGTTAGATGACCTATGAAACACCCGCGGACACGTCCGCGGGGTCCAGCTCGGATGGCGACCGTATATACAGCCGTGTCTGCAGCCGACTTGGTCCGCACCGCGGACGCGAATTTACCATATTTTTCCTGAATTAAATAATGGGTAACAAAAAAATAAAATAAAATGGGGCTGTAGCCGCCACGTGGCCTCAAAGCCGCGCGTCCGCGCGGATGCGTCAGCGGGGTCGGCGGCCTGGCCGCGTCCGCGGATTCGGCCGCGCTTGGCCGCCGCCCAGGGGGATTCATAGTAGATGACTAGAGGGATGATGTAGAAGAAGATGCCGGTGGGGATGATGATGGTGGCCGGTGGCGATGACAGTGGGGATACCGGCGGTGGTGGCGGCGGTGGTGGGGGAGGAGGTGGTAGTGGTGATGGTGGTGGTGGAGGAGGGGGTGGTGATGGTGGTGGTGGAGGAGGAGGTGGTGATGGTGGTGGTGGTGGTGGTGACGGCGACAGTGATGAGGGAGCCACCATTTCCGCAGCAATATCCGATGCTGGCCTCCATCGCCTACAACAACCTCAGCAATGTATAAATTATTAGTTGGACCATTCTTTGGCTGGGCTGGCATATCCACATTGGCGTTTGCCAGTTCAGCAGGAGTAACGGGGGGGGGGTAGACCCACTGTGTCGTGCTGTGTGGAGGGCATGTCGCCAACAACCATAATTGGTGTTCGAGTGCGGGCGGTGGTCTGCTGCATGTGGTCGGGACGAGGCTCTGTATACCGAGTGCGCATTCGGCAGTGGGTGAGCAATGGCCAAGCGCACCATCCGACGAAACCAGTTTGAAAGGGTGTTCCAAAGCGGGTGGTGGTCTGCTGCATGTGGTCGGGACGAGGCTCTGTATACCGAGTGTGCATTCGGCAGTGGGTGAGCAACGGCCCAGCGCACCATCCGAGAAAACCAGTTTGAAAGCCGTCTGACATGAGTGGGCAGTGGGTAGTTGGCGTTGCCAGCCACGCACATACGTCGTCCGGCCTTTGGCTAGGACACTAGGAGGATGGCCCCTTTAAAGCATACGCCATGTCAAGGAAGTCACTGGCGCTTTGAAGTCAGTAGCATTATTACAAATATGTTTGAACCTTGTTAGTTGTCCTGCAAGTACACCTGCAGGCTGATGAGCTGCAGCATTGGAGCATCCATTGGGATAACGTATTACAGGGAATGTCCAACCCTCAGCCTCGTCAGATACACCCATACGTAGTACCCATCTGACCGTACTTGGATTCTTGGCCCAAGGGAAAAACGTGAGCCACTTGCTCATTAGTGTCTTTCCACTCAAGACCGTACCAAGTAGGAGGGGGCGGGGATGTCTGCCAGGACAGAATGTCATCGATGAACCGATATGTGAATGCATATGCTTGCGCCGCACGCAGGTCTTGCTGACGAAGTTCATCGGCGAACTGTGCTTCATCCCAATAGAGCGTAAGGTTGGCGATTTCTGGACCAGCATTAGTGCCCATAGGGATACCGACCACTTGATGGCGGAGAGTGGCATCTGTTGTATACAGATATGTACTTGAGACTACAAGCCTCAAATGCTGTTCAGTTTGTTGTACTGAAAGAGTGTTTGTGCTATGTGAAGTAACCCATTCCCCACGACGAGGCCCTCCTACAATCATGTACATTTCTATTGGCCTTCCACGCTGCAGTCATGTGCTTCACGGACAAAATTCAGGACAATACCAAGTCTCCGGTCGCGTGGCAGGTTCGTGTACATTGTTGTGAAGTCCGCTCTGTGTCGCGTAGAACCTTGAAGGGACTGTGCATTTTTCTTGAGATCCAAATGACTTCCTCAGCACTTTGCACGATCCAGCAACGTCGCACACCACTTTCTCGGTAAAGCTCATTGTCCTTGCTGCGCAAAGATTTGATCACGCCTTGAAGGGCATAGGTAAGTGAGCAAGAGGCCATTTTTGTACTTGCAAGGGGCTTGTGAGGGGGCCCATTATGCAGGCCTGAGACAAAGGGCCGACAGAATGTTGACCGGGGGCAGATTAGGACTGTTTCGTCGTGTCACTCCAAGAATTGGACAAAGCGTGTGGGGATTTATGTGCTTTGAGTGCAAAATAGAAGTAAGGTCGGGTATCAGTATGTCGATAGCCCCAGTGATCATTGAAAAGCGCATGCCAATCGAGGATGCTGGCCATGGAGTCCGATGCTTGATCTTCGGTGGGAATGTCAAGATGTTGTGATAACTTATATGCGTACCAGTGTTTGCAGCAAATTGCCAAATTGTGTGATGTTTTATCAACACGTACAACGGCGAAGTGCCGCTGTAGCTGCTTCAAGGATGTATTGACGATTCGTGAGGCAGCCTGAGTAGGTACTTGGAACGAGGCTCTAAACAGATTCCCTTAGCATCTTGAAATGACTGCTGTGCGCCATCTGCGCGTAGCTGAGCAAGATTATCAGCAATAATTGGGTCATTGCCACGTGTCTAGGGATGTGTGTGTGTGTGTGTGTGTGTGCGCGTGTGCGTGTTTGTGTGTGTGATGTGCGCAAAAAGCTAGAGATCAGTTCCAACCCCATCGCAAGAACGAAACGGGTCGCTTCCCACGGCATGGCAAACTCCCTCCCTCTAAGTCTCTCACTCGGGTAGTGTCGCGCCTCTCTCTCTCTCTCTGTGTGTGTGTGTGTGTGTGTGTGTGTGGTGTGCACTTCCATTCACACACCTGGTGAAAACGAAACCGGTAGGTTCACGTCCCATGGTGAACTCTCTCTCTCTCCCTCTCTCTCCCTCCCCCTACGGTGTGCGTGAACAGTCACGAGTTCCATGGCGAAATCTGTCTCCCCCATTATTAGCAGTTAACAGGAACCCCCACTTTTCAGCCCCAAGGTAACAACCCCAACCCTGAAAAGCGCATTGGAGATCATTTTTCCAGTTCTTTTTTCTTTTTCTTTTTTTCGCCCTTTTCTATGGTTGGTCAAGGCCTGTGTGTGCCAAGTTTGGTGGTTGTTGGGGTCTTGGAGTCAACTGTTTTGGCCAGCCCTGAAAAATCCTGAAAATCCTGAAAACTAAAAGGAGTGAATTTTGCATGAAAACACACTTTTGCCTTGGGGTTTCAAGGCCCCTTTTATCTTTTTTTTTTTTGTTTATTTTTGCTGTCGGTTTATTTGTTGTCCACTCTATGGACTGGTTACAAGTCTGGCGTAAAAGGTGTGGTACGTTTGTTATAATGACCCTAAAAAAAATCCTGAAATTTAGTGCTCTGTTATGCCCTGTTTCAACCACCACCATGTTATCTCGTATTAGTTCCACTGAACATTGTAGAGCACTCCCACGTAGATGAGTCAAACACGAATTTGATTTTTTAAAAATTGAAGAAAAACTCGTTGCTTTGCACCTTTCTTTTTTCATCGATCAAATCAAAGGCTAAGTAACATAAAGGTAATGTATTGGACTGCAAATCCACGAATGATGGTTCGAATCCGTCCTTAGCCTACTTACTCGGCAAGTCGACCAAGTTGAGTTAGACCCCCTCCCTCTCTCTCTTTGTGCTGTGGCTGAAGAGGGGTAGAGTTTCCCCTGTGCGGGGCCACTCTGCACTTCGTATTCGAACACGAGGCCCCCCCACCTGCGATGCGTGCTGCCCCTGCTTGAATCCATACAAAAATATGTGCGCTGCAGAAAAAAGGTGTGCGCCCCTAAACCCAACGTCCCTCCGCCGCAGCGCACCAGACTCCAGCCCCTCATGGACGGAGAAAAAAACAACTCTCTGCATTTTTTGCGGTTTTCCCTTGGGCCCAAGCCTTGCCCCCGACCATTTTCCCTACACGGAGCCCAGGTCGCGGGAGTGTCACATGAGATCCGCTGCAGTGTTCCCGTTATAACGACAGTATAGAAAAGGAAAAACCACAGAGGAATAGAACTTTTCAGTTGTACCCCACCCCCGCCTTGGAAGGAGATCACCTGTCCCAGAGGAGGTCAAACAAGCAGAAAGAACCAGGTTTATGTGCTTCATCAAGATGACACATGAGAGGGAGGCGAAAAAAGAGCCGGATCACTACCACCACCACCAAATAAAAGAGAATATGACATTTACCTTCGTGGGACTAGTTTCCACAATTTCCTTGCCTGTTGAGCAAGAACCAGGTTTATGTGCTTCATCAAGATGAGACATGAGAGGGACGTGAAAAAAGAACCGGATCACTACCACCACCACCAAATAAAAGAGAATATGACATTTAACTTTGTGGGACAAGTTTCCACAATTTCCTCGCCCGTTGAGCACAACACTGCTATACAATCCCATCCACACTCAGCAAACGAATATTCCCCACAAATTGTGGAGCAAAGATATTGCAGCAGCATCCGTCAGCGCCTGGTGTATTCCAAACTGCCTGGAATGCTGAATCTGCCCCCGGAACACGCGGGTATCCAAACCTCCCATCCAAACCCACGCGGGACATGCTGGGTTATTCCTGCAGGATATACTATCACAAGCGAACACTGTTCACAGACCAGGTTATAATCTTTCAGTGCAATTGAGACCTTTGCGGACTTCCAGCACCACAATACCCTTCTTCCACCAGACGCTGTTTGAAACAACGGGCCGGAAAATGGCCTGGATGAACACATCCTTTGGAGCACAGTCACACTTCCCTATCACATTGCGTGCATTCAAAGGAAATTGCAAAGTGGCGAAGTCCGGATGTACCAGCCTTCAAATCATCAAGTCCACAATCGCGGAACTAACTTCAACTCCAACGTCACTCCAATCCCTTCACTGCAACACCTTGCAGTGTAGCTGTTAAACATGCAACCTGCCATTGTGTCATCTAAAACTATGGGCAGTCGCCAGCGAGGGTTTGCAGCTCAGGGAGCAAAACAACTCCACTCCTCCCTCTCTCTCTCTCTCTCTCTCTCTCTCTCTCTCTCTCTCTCTCTCTCTCTCTCTCTCACACACACACACACACACACACACACACACACANCACACACACACACACACACACACACACACACACACACACACACACACACACACACACACACACACACACACACACAGAGGAATACTCATATATCAGCATATGCACCATCAGCACTGTCTCCACCACTACCAGCAAGAGGAGGTCGATAGAGCAATGCTCCTACGGAGAGCTTATACACCATCAGCGCTGGCTCTACCACTACCAGCAAGAGGAGACGTCCCACCGTCTACAGCTACCGGAGCCTACCGCAACATACTGATCTGTAGAGGCAAGAGCTGGCGCATATTGCTAAGCAAGATATGCTCAGTTTTCAAGTTCACTAATCCGGCCTGAGAATAGTCTATCGAAGAGATAGGCCAAGGATTGAAGAGTGGAACAGGAAAATGACAGAGCATCACACATCGGCAACCAGAGTGCAAGAACAGGCAGCGCTGCAACTTCACCGAAAGGACAGAATAGCGCTGAAACATAACCAGAGTGGCAGACAGGAAAAAGAGATTGAGGCTGACTGAGAATTCCGAGTGCCGCTGAATCTTCTGGCTCTGTAGGGTTGCCTGCCTAAACCTGCTGCAGATGAGGACACAGAGACCATCACCATAACAATGTCTATGCTCTCATTTCCTTGCAAGCAAACAGCCCTGAGAATTGAGAAACCACCTCCTAACCAGCAGACAGCCCTGAAAATTGAAAAAAAAAAACAAAAAAACAAAACAAAACACCTCATACCCGATGTGAAGTGAGCTTAACCCTACAAGCCAGAGACGTACAACTCCGTCAAAGATACAGTCCCAGCAGTTTCACCAAGCTAGAACAAGAGTTCAAAACCTGTGTCAGAATGCAATGTGTCCACTCACCTCCAGGAACACCGTTCAACGAGTGTAATAGAGGACATTAACAACAACCATTGGCTGATGAGATGGTCACGTTGCTGATCCCGCACAACAAAGCCCTCTTTTGTGACGATACGACCCAGGCGCAGAGAACAACCAAGGGATACTATGTCATCATGCACACCCCAAATGCGACCATCCCGTGGGCCGACGACCGACAAGGAGAATGTATGGGGAACCAACCAAACGAAGAGAAGGGGTTGGGCACCCACCATCTTCAAATTGCGCTGTCAATCGATAGGCAAAGTGCAACGCCCTGATGCCAGACGGGAACACACAGGAGGTCAGTTCCTATGGGACTGAAGTGGGACTCAGCCAGCAGAACAAACATCCGTGTCCAGCGGCCATTCTTGGGGCCACGCATACCATTCTCCAGCCGGTGTTTTACGGCAGCCAATCTGTCCTGAACAAGAGGCTCAACAGAGCAAGAAGCAAGAAGAGCGTGTGGGAAAACCTTGCACTTGCCTGTCCAATCAATCAATGTACAGCAGCAATCTGATGTTGCCAGCCACCTTAAAAAGACGCCTGTCAGTAAGTAAAGCCCCTGGCATCACAAATGGTTTGAACCTGACAGACCAGCCTGGAACAAATGCCTTCCAAAAGGGGGTTATCATGAAACCTCCGGGAAAGTTGGCAGCTATGTGGGTGACAGACCAGCCATCTGGTTGAAGGGCTCCGTGCAAGCCCTGATTAGTCTGTCACCCTCCCTTTACTGCACAATGGGCAACAACAGCTATCTGCTCGTGATGCCCCATCCAGCCAAAGACTGAATCAGTCTGGCAATAGGCAAACCAAAAGATGGCCATCTGGCATACATGATCAACAAAACCAGTCAGCAGCTGAAAAACTATATTTGTGAGGCACCTATCAGCGTGGAAGATCACGTTTAGAAAACCTTGCGAGCCCAAAACCAGCCATCTGACATTTTGACTGGACAGTTCGGTGCTCGCCATTACCGCGCACACGGATCAGAAAGGGCAACCAACCTGGTGCCAGAGTAGGGATTTCATTCACGTGGTGGAAGCCTCCATTTATGGGCCCCCTGGCAATCCCCACCCTTTTGAAGAGAGGAGTGAGGAATCATGAGCCGTAAGGAAGAGTGAGATGAAGCAATGAGCAGCCGTGATGAGTGGTGAGGCACAGTGGGGGGGACCGAGACGTGAAATTTGGACAGGTGAGAAGACGCAGTGGGTTGCACAGCATGGCTGGCATTCCAGCTTGCCGCCCATGTGTGGCAACAAGCTGGCAATAAGGCCTCCTGCTTCTTGCCGGGAGAGCTCCTGGTCGCCCTGCTTTGCATCCCACATGAGGAGGACCTTCAAGGCCCTGGCGGCCCCAAAATCAGCAATCTCTGCAGCCCGCATGAGCCGGACATTCAAGCCCCTAGTGGCCCAGTCCAGAAGCTTCAATCGCCCGCTTCGGTACAACAACTACAAGCAGTAAGGCATCGCTGGACTTTTTCCGAGATCAACCAGGTGAGACACTCTTGGCGGCCCTAATCAGCAAGCTATGCAGCCCTGATGAAGACCTTTGAGTGAGCCCTGTGGGGGTCAGTCCCATCTCCCCCGTCAGTACAGCCACCACAGCCGTCTAATTCAGTCGGCTTTTTTTGGCCGGGGCTGCTGAAAACGAATCCGCAGAAAAAAACTATATTCTCTATCATGGATTCAAACGCCTCCCTGACACGTAATACACCTTAGAACTACTTGAGGTCAGCATGAAATGAAACAAATCAACCCTTCTTGATCAAAACAATGACCGAAAGAAACTGTCATATTCACACATTACAAAGGGTGCACAACAACAATCACATGACGACAAATGGAGTCAATTCCTGCATTGCATCTCTGCCAGATCTTCCTACTCAAGGCCTCAAGTGAACATCAATTGTAAAACAGAACTCCTACATGAAGTGTATTGCTATAACACAGCCAAGATCACTGAATCTATCAAGAAGACGGCCTACCTGGCTCTACGTTATCCCCTGCACTATCTTCTCCTCCTCCTCCTCCTCCTCCTCCTCCTCCTCCGCCTCCCCCTCCTCCTAGCCCCCCTGATCCTGCACTCGAGCTCTGCGTGTTCCCACGACCACTTGTGCTCTTATCAAACATATGTACAAGGAGTTTGATGAATTCTGGAGATACGCTCGTACCTGCTGGCCCTGAGGCAGCGATCTCCACGTCAGGGACAGCATAACCATTGCTGTAAGACGCTGATGCCCCTGCACCATCTCTGCTCAGCCGATAGTCATATGCGACATCCTTTGATGGCCGAGATGTTCGCAGCACTCCCTCAAAGTCTTGCAATCTTAGCGACCTGGGCTTTGCTGTCATGGGGCCTCTCAAGTAGATACCCTCGGCCTCGCCAGCGACTTCCTCCCTGACCTCTCTACTCGCTGATGGTTCTGCTTGCCTTTCCTCCTCCAGCAGGTCTCTGATTGGTGCATATGCAGCCTGCTTACAGAGCTCCTGAAGGTCCGACCCGCTGTACCCTTCAGTCAATGCTGCAAGGCGCATCACATCAACATCATCCTCCACATCCTCCCCCTTCAAAATCACTTTCAAAATGCTTGCTCGCTGCAGCATGTCCGGCATGCCTATTTCAAAACTCCTTGGCAGGCGCCTCAGGATTGCCTCGTCCAGCTCCCAAGGACGGTTTGTGGCAGCGAGCACCATCACTCGTGCAGAATCTGCAATTGCATCACATGCCGAGGAAGAAAAGCACAAGACAACTGTGAAAATAAGCAATTTGCTCACTTTGCTGCACATTACCCCAAGGTCGCTACAGTGCATGTTTCCCAGACAGAGACGTGCCAGATGCATAAACCGCTCTATATCCATAACGTTGTTCATTCCAATAAGTTTGACTGGCCACACCAGCAGAACAAGCACCAAATCCTGTCAAACAGCACCACAGCTTTCCCTAATTCAGATAGTAATTCGACACAGGGCGACCTTCAGGACACCGAAACACATTCATATCAACTAAGCAGGATTGAGCTCTGGAAGTTCACAAAGCCTGACATCCATGGGCTCGACTCATCCTTCTTAAACCACCAGTACTCTAGGATACCGATCGTTTCCTCCTCACATGTAGGAACCTCTGCACAAACCACAGACTTGAAACAAAAACAATCTAGCAGACCTTTTCATTCTGGTGTATTCTGCAAGCTGCCAACTTGTCACAAGGAAGCCTACTCCAACCAGTGGTGCCCTCACGACCATTCTCAATTTCTCATCCCCCTACAGTCTTCCCCCCAATACAACGTACGGTCATTGTACCTGAATTTGCTGAATTTGGGGTATCTTTCAGTCCAAATACTGCAATAATGACCGTAAGTTGTAATCAGGGGAAGATGGTAGTACCCTTGCTCCCTCCCCTGTACACCCGTCACACCTGTTCGCAACCCCCACTCAACCTACCGCCCCCCCATATCTTTCCCTTTTTGAAGGGATCTCGTGTCCACAAGATGCCGCGCGGTGACTCATTTTGGGCTTTCCGGGAGACCACTATCCGACCAGAAGGTGAAAGATTTTATAAACTTGAGTCGTAGATTTTCAGTGTCACAACCCCCCCCCCCCCCCCCAAGTGTCACAATCTTCCTCCGAATACAACGCACGGTCATTATAGCTGAATTTGGGGTATCTCTCAGTCCACATTCAGCCATAATGACCAGAAGTTGCAATCGGGGGAAGACAGTAGTCCCCTCACTCCCTCCCCTATACAACCTCACACCTGTTCTCATCCCCCTACAGTCTTCCCCCGAATACAACATAAGGTCATTACAGCTGAATTTGGGGTATCTTTTCTCATCCCCCTACAGTCTTCCCCCGAATACAACGTAAGGTCATTATAGATGAATTTGGGGTATCTTTCAGTCCAAATACAGCTATGATGACCGTAAGTTGTCATGGGGGGAACAAGGCAGTACCGTTACTCCCTCCCCTATACACCCCTCACACCTGTTCGCACCCCCCAGTCAACCTATCGCCCCGACAGTTCTTTCCCTTTTTAAAAGGATCTGGCATTTCGGGCTTTCAGGGAGAACACTTGCCGACCAGAAAGTGAAAGATTCGTACACACACATTCTATCTCCTCTTCCAGTGTCACTCCCCCCCTCCTTCAGACGTATCCAACTCTCTCCTCGCACACAACATTAGCACAGTCATGCCACACAAAGACAGGCATGACATTTGCCCTCTAGGTTGCCGCTGGTCCTGGGAGCCTCCGCCCCGGCAGCCAGTCGACTGTTATGATTCTGGTTGTTTGTTGCCTGTAGGCCAACACTCACTCACATAGACTTCCAAGTATGCCCATACTTACAAGGGGAGAGGATAGGAGTATCACACCGCATAGGGAGAGATAACACAGCGGAAGACTTGATCATGCGATATGACAGGGTACACTGAAAGTATAATTCACTCCACTCAATCCTCACAACCAGTCATAGAGAAAAGCCGAGCAGATCACATCCAGGAAACAATGAAACGATGATAGTCCAAACCCAGTATACACGGTTTATTAAACTCAGAGCCTCGAATTGTCAGGATAACTTCAGTACTACAGTGCGCTGCTCAGAAATGAGCAGCGCTTCACTCCCCAACCCTGAATAATGCCAGTAACACCCCTGAGACCCTGAAACATCAAGCGCCACCCAGATACAGCCTCCTGAGAGAAGCGCCACCCTGAAACAGGGCCCTGAGGCCAAGCGCCACTCAGAGGATGAAGAAGAAGACCAGCGCCACAGTATCTGATAATGACGAAGTGTCGGAAGACTTCCCAGGCGGAAGTCTGCAGCAGCGCCACCAAACCCTGACAAGATGACCTCTGAGGAAGAAAGCTGCAGCTATGGCTGCAGCGCCAACACCCTGGAACCCCACTCCGGAGGAGGGTCCAGCAGGGCACCAATCTCTCTCGCCTCCAGCAGACCTCGATACCCCAGACCTCTGTCAGCCCCTGCGTGCTGGCAGAGTACAGCGCAGGCCCCAGCTATGGCCGGCGCTCCGAAGGTCTGGCTATGCCTGTCTCCTTCCACGCTGAGCCGTCACCACTTCCGGTTCACGAGTAGAGCAGCAGCGATGTACTCGGTACCAACTGCCAAAAGCCCTGAACCGATGTGCTCATCCTATCTATAGTCTAAACTAGCCTAGACTCGACCTAAACCGGACTGACTGACCAACCGGTACCGATTATGTTTCAGCCTCTAGGGCCTCTCCCAACCCGGCTATAGGCTATAGGACCGACTATCAGCTTAGGCCTATAGGGCCTGGCTGTCCTAGGGGTAGCCCGGGCCTGCTATTCGCAGATAGGGTAGCTGTAGGAAATTCAGTTAGTACGGGCCTGTATTTTCCCGAATTTGCAGATATGTCCCTCACGAATTTTCCTTACAGATTGGTCTCTCGGTTAGCCCTCAGCCAAACAAAATTACGAATCTAACCTAAGATGCGACCCGACCGAGGCAAGCCTCAAGCTTCGCCCTCGGCCCAATGTACAGTCCACTGAGAATCTGCAGGCTTCATTACACGACGCTGCATGTTGCCGCAGGCCCTGGGAGCCTCCGCCGCTTCAGCCAGTCGATGCTGCATGGAACTCTACGCTCATACCACAGAGGTCCTTGCCTCAAACGATGCAAAGCCCAATGACTACTCTTTCACAACCCATACCCTTGATAAGGTAATTTGTCAAGTTAGGGGTCCGTTACGCTGCGCAAACAGTCATGATGATGAAGCCGTGTGCAATTGCAGTGTTGGGGACTGAAGCCCGTACTCTGTTACGTGTATGCAACCGGCAAAAAGAGACATTACAGTCTCACATACAAAAAAGTGGATCCTGGCCGCACTGGTGTCATTTCATGCTATGGCACCTGGTAGTACCTGGTCACAGTTACGACTGGGTATGCCCAACAGGGCTGAAAGAGATGGGAGATGAAGGCAAACAACAACAACAACAACAGGTAGAGAGTGTAAACGACATATCAAGCCACCCAAGCATGATCAAAGGGGAGTAAAGAAGGACTGGACAGGACATCAGGGACAATCAACACCATGCAGAAAGCTCTGCCTCAGGACAGAGCACTATTCTCACCATTCGTCGTGAACCCGTCCCAAAGAGACATGAACTCTGTCTTCATATTTGTCATGGCTTCATGTTCGCTGGTCTTCCGCTGACCCAAGAAACTGTCTACCTCGTCGATGAAGATGATCGATGGCTGTAATTTATACGCAAGTGTGAACACAGCCGTAACTGCAGATAAGATCCAGAGAGACAGTTGTCACTTCCAACTTCCAGTCAAGTAAAGACACCAAATTAGCCAGATATCTTTCCGAACTGGACATTGAAAGAGCAACCATTCCTTCAAAAAAGGTCACAGTAATTTTGGCCCTTCTCGGGTATGATGAGTTATGTGGGAAGTGTTTCAGAGCATCTATTTCTCAACCTCTGCAGGTTAGCCCCTCCAAAGCAAGCATTCCTTCACATTATATCCTTAAGGCGACCCTGTACTCTGACCCTTTCAGGTTATGTACACTTATTACAAAAGGTCACAGTTCAGACACCATGTTCACATCGACTCCACAATCGGCTACCCACACACCCTTTCACACACACACACACAGGCACCCTTTCTCACACACACACACACACACACACACCTTCACACACACACACACACACCTTCACACACACACACACACACACACACACACACACACACACACACACACACACACACACACAGACACACACACACACACACACACAGAGGCACACACTTGGCTAACTTCAACACGGAGAAGCATCATAGTTGTGCAACATTAACTCGAAACCATCGGAGCAGAGCTACTAATAATGAATGCCATTACAATCTCTGTAAAGAGCATCCTTCACCTTTGCTTCTACTCTCTCCAGACAAGATGTCCAGCACGTGGTTTATAACATGAATTCTCCAAACCGCTTCGGACCCTTTCACATTCAACCTCCTCTTCTGGCCCTTCTTCTTCTGCTACAATAGGCTTTCAGCAGCCACTCCACACCCAATCCGAGCAGCCAGCCATTTCTGACAGTATATACGGCCTTGTTGTGTACAGCTGGATCTTCTTCACAGCCATCGGGCACAATGGTGGTTTAATATCTGAATAACTTACTCCATCTTCGCATTCCAGTACAACTAAATAGTGTCATCACGATTACTTTTCCCCAAGCAGACCACATCTGACACCATAATTTCTAGTCTTTTTCTACTGTGTCGAGTACTAATGACTAGAAATGTAGTAGAAACCCACCTTAAACCACCACTCTACCCGACGTTGTGAAAGTCAGGACCGGTAGCACATGTTCAGGAGGGCTACCGGTAGCGTAGTGTGGAGACCCGGTAGATGCCCAAAAATGAGAAATCCGAAAATTTGCCACCACCACTTATTTCATGGTTAAAACGATTTTCTTTCTTTTTTTTTAAATATTTTTCCCGGAAAGATCACAACGAAATCTACAGACCCTCCAATTTTCAGAATTTTTAAATAGTTCTTCTGACCATTAAAAACCGCTGAAATTCGGGTACATTTCCCAGAGGCCCACAAGTCGTAGAGTGGCAAAAATCAAGAATGAGACAAGTCAGCATGGCATTTATTTCACCGACTAAAACTTTTTTAAAAACTTTTAAAATATTTTCCGTTATTTCCCGTTATGGTGCGCCTGCATGTATATTCTTCCGGTTGTCCTACATGCAATCATACTTCGTCACTTCACACATGCATACAAACAGACGGTGAATCTACAGGACCTCAAAATTTCAGATTTTTCCCGTTATTTTTCTGAGCGCGATAACTTCATTCCATTGCTGCGCTCCTGCATGTATATTCTTCCGGTTGTCCTACATGCAATCAGACTCGCATACTTCGTCACTTCACATGCATACAAACAGATGGTGAATCACATTGGCGCCTAGGGCCCAACTCAAAGCTCGAAGATATGGAAACCAAGACACAGTTCAGATGCAAGCTCGCTTCAACAGGCTATGGTGCATCAGCACCCACACATCGCAACTCTTATCACAGTGTCCAACACCACTGTTCACTTCACGCTTCAACTCCGGATCACCCTGGATACCCCACGCACACACTCTGCACACACACACGAATGCACACCTACTACTAACTATGGCAGCTATGGCCGACAGCTAACTCTACTCTACAAGCAGCTATGGCTGCGCTAACTCCCTCTAGCCCACTTTGACTTCAGGCTCCTCTGCAGACCACCTCGCACAAGTCACCCTGGCAGCGCTTCCGCATGACTTCCGCAGAAATGAATGAATGGCTGTGCGCTACCTCTTGATTTATACTTCTGTAACTCGTTGGTCTGCCCCTTTCCATCGGCCCATGGTGCACACAGTCCCCCATGGTACTTGCAGGACTGGACTGGGAATGACTTGACCGTACCGCTGACTACATGGGGACGCACTGCTAACCTACCGCTATCGTACTGCGAACGTACTGCAGTTGGTCCACCACTTGCCCACTTGCCTCAGCCTGAAACGTGAGCAAGCTGCGAAAGGCCACTTCCGGACCTTCCGGAAGTCTGTGGACTTGGCCTTTCGGGACTGTAGCAGCTACGTCCTTGACCTCTCAGGACTGTAGCAGCTACGACTTTGACCCTTCAGGACATCTACAGCTACGACTTCTGGAACTCTCTAAGACCTCTACTCGACAGGCCTACAGATCGAATCCCTATGTCCACACAGTCCTACGACAGACAAACAACAACTCACGAAACACAGGTCACGGGTTCAAGCACTCAAGGGTCAACTCGATACTGTACATGGGTGAGGTAAGGTCTGGGGATCAAACCCCGGGATCTGCATCTGCCTCTGCAAAGGTGAAAACCGTTTCATACATGTTCCTTTCTATTGGTGGGGAGCTGCACCTGATGGGAACCGGGCCCAGCGTCCCAAGAGAATAAAGTTCAATAAACACTGAATAGAGCAGACCCACTCGAAACGCTTCCCCGATGTGATAGCATTTCGCTGATATCATACATTTCGCACGTGACAACAAGACACGGCATGCCCAAACTTTCCATGAGGGCATGCGTGAACTTTCGACAAGGGCTTGGCGTCTTGCAGAATATAGATGGATCAATATTAAACAGAGAACGATGATTGAAAAAATCACGAGAATAAGCAGATGAATTCCACTCTCAAGTCAGACTAGCATTCCTGGTGCAGGCTCTCGGCCACATAAATATGGCAAGACTCTCTCTCTCTCTCTCTCTCTCTCTCTCTCTCTCTCTCTCTCTCTCTCTCTCTCTCTCTCTCTCTCTCTCTCTC